AGCTGGGACCACAGGAGACTCAGAGTCACACTGGGGACTGTCCAGCGGGAGCTGGGACCACAGGAGACTCAGTCGCACTGGAGCTGCAAAGGAAAACAGGTGGAGGAGAACTATGTCACCTCCAGCCAGCTCCTGCTTTCAGATCTTCCACCAGTGGCCCCCATGGGCCAAACCTAGGAAGCCGGAAGACAAGAAAGCCTAGGAAATGAAGGTCCTTGTCACTTAGAGAAGATGACAATAAGGGCAGAAAATGGATCTCAGCGCAAACAGGCAGTCGCTGTACGCTTATCCTACAAGTGTACATGCCATGGTAACGTGAAGGTTTGACACGGGGCGGGGAAGATCAGAAAGGCGAAACACCATTGTACCGCCTGGGTTGCCAACTTCCTCAGTGACTGCGGAGAAGCCCCTCACCTTCTGAGGCACGGGCAAAACGGGTGCTGGGCTGCTGAAGCGGGAGCAGGTCGTGGCTTCTATCGTCTGTTCTGTTCAGTGAGCACCTCACTCGCCGAGGGTAACGCTGGTCGTGGGGCTTTCCCTGCCTGCACAGGGAAGAAATCCTCCCCAAAAGACTGGCTTGCCAAGATGTTGGTCTCCTCTCTATGAGGCTGGCTTGCAGGCCATGCTAGCACATTATTACGCATTCCACTTGTGCCCTTAGTATGTGGCCCCCAAGGCTGCCTCCGTCAGCCTCCACACCACTTCCCCAAAGAAACAATCAGATTTGAGATGAGGTCACATCTTAGAAGTACTGCAGGACTTCGTAAGTGATGTGCTGAAGAAGAGGGAGAAGGCAAGGAAGACTTCCGTGAAGTAGCCAGCTGCCGAGCTGGCCTCCAATAACCCCTCCCTCCTAACATTTACATCCTTCCACACTGTACCAGGTCCGTGTGCTCAAGCAGACCTGTGCAGAGCGAGAGGGCAGTCGCAGTCCACTTATCCTACAAGTACCTGATACGCAAAGGTCTGACCCGGGGCAGGGAAAGGACAACAGGAAACAGCAGAGGTGATGGCAAGTCACTTCAGAGACTACTTTAAAATCTGTGGTTTTCATCTGAGACTATCTTTCCTCGCTCTCTCCCCCATCGTTTACTCTGGGTCAGGAGTGTCATGAAGTCACCCAGGTAGCCCAGGGAGGCACCCACATGGTAAGAAACAGAGACCTTTGGTCAACAGTCAGTGAGGAACCAAGGCCTGCAACAGCCA